ACCGAAGCCGCAGCATTTCCTACCTCAGACAACTTACGCTGCCCTTCACTTTCATTTCGCGCTGGGGTTTCCACACCCTAACACTTGCACACATGTTAGACTCCTTGGTCCGTGTTTCAAGACGGGTCAAATCGCTCCATTTCGTCAACGTCCCGAACGGCAACAAGTTAAAACCCACATCAATCCACACACAACCACACACGCATAGCAAGCTATCCGCACACGGCGCACACAGAGACACAGGCCCACTCAAAAACACGTTGTAGGCACCTCAGTCCCAACCGCGACTACTCGTCCACCAAGATATAACAGACAAACGCAAGCGTAAGCCCTACCTCCTCGGCGGCCATTTCCCGCAGCATACGAACTGACCTTGACGTCCCACCGCAGCACAGGGCACCAGCAAGCACACACAGCACACACGCCGAGCGCAGCCAAAAAAGCCGCTGCCACAGCACACGCACGCACACACTCGCCAATGAAATATACCACGGATTATAGACACTGGAAACGATTCGGTTCCCTTTCAGCAGTTTCAGGTACTCTTTAACTCTCTTTTCAAAGTTCTTTTCATCTTTCCCTCACGGTACTTGTTCGCTATCGGTCTCGCACCAATATTTAGCTTTAGATGGAATTTACCACCTACTTTGCGCTGCATTCCCAAACAACGCGACTCAAAGAAAACGGATCGTACGCACGAGCAACTCAGGGATGAACGGGAGTATCACCCTCCATGCTGTCCTCTTCCAAGGAACTTGCCCCAAGCGCCCACACTGATCACGCCTCTATAGACTACAATTCGCCGCGCAAAACTTGCACGGAGATTTTAAGCTTGAGCTCTTCCCGCTTCACTCGCCGTTACTAGGGGAATCCTTGTTAGTTTCTTTTCCTCCGCTTATTAATATGCTTAAGTTCAGCGGGTAATCTTGCCTGATATCAGGTCCAATTGAGATGCATACCGAAGTACACAACATTTCCCAAATGGATCGACCCTCGGCAGCCGAAGCCGCCACTCTACTTCGCAACAGCAAAGCCGATTCAAATGCCAAGCTAAAGAGCCATGGTTCACCAGTCCATCACGCCACAGCAGGAAAATCACCCAATAAGCGCATTGTTCAGCCGAAGCCAACCATACCACGAATCGAGCATTTCTCCATTAACGCCGCAGCAGACAGACCGGTCGCCAACTCGCTACAATAGCAGCGTCCACAACCAGCAATGCCACCACTTTTGGAGCAAAGAGAAGTACAGTTTAGTACATTTAAAAGGACTCGCAGTCGGTCCGAAAACCAACCGCAAGACACTTCACATCTGGCATCTCCTCCACCGACTACACGGAAGGAAGAAAGCCAAGTTTGTTGTACGGACACTGATACAGGCATACTTCCAGGACTAACCCGGAAGTGCAATATGCGTTCAAAATTTCGATGACTCACTGAATCCTGCAATTCGCATTACGTATCGCAGTTCGCAGCGTTCTTCATCGATGTGCGAGCCTAGACATCCACTGCTGAAAGTTGCTATCTAGTTAAAAGCAGAGACTTTCGTCCCCACAGTATAATCAGTATTAAGTAAAGGGTTTAAAATAAAAAAGCTACTAGCTCAGACCGAAGTCCAAACGCTCGCCTTTTGATAGGGCTCGCCCAGCAGTAGCCGCCAGCAATAAAGCCAGCAGCCGCCGCCAAGAAAGACCCCCAACTATTGGTTTGAAACGGTTCACGTGGAAAGTTTTTAGGTGTGGTAATGATCCTTCCGCAGGTTCACCTACGGAAACCTTGTTACGACTTCACCTTCCTCTAAATGGCGAGGTTTAAAAAAGTTCCCATCAATCCACTCGCAATAAAGCAAACAGACTCACGGTCCCAATTTTTCACCGAGTCATTCAATCGGTAGGTGCGACGGGCGGTGTGTACAAAGGGCAGGGACGTAATCAATGCAAGCTGATGACTTGCGTTTACTAGGAATTCCTCGTTCAAGACTAAAAATTGCAACAGTCTATCCCTAGCACGATGCGCATTCACAAGATTACCCAGACCTATCGATCAAGGTTGTATACTCGTTGAACGCATCAGTGTAGCGCGCGTGCGGTCCAGAACATCTAAGGGCATCACAGACCTGTTATTGCCTCCAACTTCTTTTGGTTTGATTACCCAAAAGTCCCTCTAAAAAGTCCACTAAACCTACCAAAAATGGTAAGCGGTACTATTTAGCACGCGGATGTTCTCGTTCGTTAACGGAATTTAACCAGACAAAATCACTCCACCAACTAAGAACGGCCATGCACCTATCACCCCATAGAATCAAGAAAGAGCCTCTCAATCTGTCTATCCCTTACTATGTCTGGGACCTGGTAAGTTTTCTCGGTGTTGGAGTCCAAATTAAGCCCGCAGGCTCCACTCCCTGGTGGGGCCCCTTCCGGCAATTCCCTTAAAGTTTCAGCCTTTGGCGACCATACTTCTCCCCGGGGAACCCAGAAGACTTTGAATTTCTCCAGACGGGTGGCGGACAAGGGT